ATCTTTGGGATCTGATACTACACCGCTGCTCAAAACCTTCGGGGATCAACTTTATTACATAAGTTGATTTCGAATCTATCATCATATAAGTAAGCAGTTCTGGTTGTATCGGCCAAAAACCTTGTTATTCTGTAATATTCCAGTGGTTGCCGCAAGGAATGACGTCGTAGCTCCTGCAGAAGTAATAACAATCAAAGTCGTAGGTGGGTATTCAAATAAAGGGGAGCACCTTGCTATCATGGAAACAGTCATATGCGGAACACATACAAGTCTAGATTTAAAGATAAGAGAGCCAAGTCTATCTCTTAAGACCAAAAGGAAATGTTGGGGGGACAGGTCTCTAGGGAATAAATGCCAGACAGAGGTCTAACCTAACCGTTTGTTTCATGCAGTGAAGCGGGCTGTAGTTTGAATCGCCGGTCAGGCGCTCTGTTTACTGCTTTATATCTGAAGCAGTGCGCAGTAACACTTCAACAGGCGTACGGTGGGATTACCCCGTATGATATTCATACTAAACTATCTGTACCCGTATCACTCACTAGATCAGGTTACCCTAGGATCATACCATCCTTTCATAGATAACAAATCTATATATAAAAGGGATGAGAAAGGGCTGCGAAGTATTCTCGCTAAGCATATCAGCGAATATCAACTCACTATTCCTGGGCCCAACCTCGAAATGGCCAAGGCTTGATAATCGGGTATAACTCGGAAGCCGGCTTGCGCTGAGTCTATACCTCTCTCTGGCAGTGCACTATTTCCGGTTCACTGATAAGGAAGATAGAGTTGGGGTGGGGGTCTACGATGTGATACTCAAGTATGACCCGGGGAGATACATGCTAACTATGGGTAGACAAAATATGAATCTGAGGTGGTTGCTGAGCTCACCTTTATAAATAAGCCCTCATACTTAAGGTCTTTGTCTATTTCTGCTAGAAAATCGTCTGCGTGTTCCGAAATCGGAATATAAAAGGTTACCAAATGTAAGGTAATCATAGAGAAATATCCTTGGGTGTTTTTTTTTCTCTTGAAATTCAATTTACCTAAAGCAACCTGCAACGTTGCAGGTTGCTTTAGGTAAATTGATAGATTCAATAAAATTAAGCGAAGTACTAATCTTATATCGGGCGAATTCTATGTTCAACAAATAGTTGAGCGATGGAAGGACAAAGGAACTGAATAAGAACAAGCGAGACAAAGGGATATGACAAAAAAAAAAGCCTTCTCACGAGCTGGAGTCGAACCAGAGTCCTTTTCTTCCCCACTGCTTCGAAGCCGGAGGCAGACACGTGGGGTTCACTGGAAGGGAGAGTGGCGGGAATTCATTTTTGCAATGTAATGGAACTCAAAGCCTGTTTCATAGGCTGTACTCGTACTCACCGACTACACTTCAATAATTCGTGCATAAGGGTAAGGAACTTTGGATGAACTAATGCGAATGGGTGTAAGCCTCGCAGCTCGGAAACACCCAGTGCTGACCACACTGAGAGAGACGAAAGCTTCTTCAATGAGATAATTTATCTTTAGCAAGAAGCAAGCCCTCTTCAAGCTGTCGAATATAGATTGAAGAGGGTGATCGTAGATCAGGGGAATCAAATCCCATTGCTCTAACCAACACATTTATATAAGCTAAACCTAATGACGACAACGCAAGGCCGTGTACCGAAAAGCTGCCACCCAGTATAATGTACCAACGCGTTAATTTAACGGACGCGACGATGATAGCTACGAAATGTGCTGAGCCTATGTCCTTCCCCATCTCTTTTTATTTTTTTTTCTTTGGAATAGATTTTTACTTGTTCATGTTCTGGAACTGAAGAAAGTCCGTCAAAATGAAAATTGGATACTGATTTTTCCGAAAATTTACTCATTATTTTAAAATAAAAACCCATTTCAGTGAATACTAATTTTCTATCCAATTTATCTATTTTCTGTTCCAATTCTGGAGAATTGGTATTCATACAAAGAAGGAGGTTACAAAGACTCGTGTTAGTCAAAGCTACTAGAAAGCTTGAGCCTCAAAAGAAAGCATGACCTTCGTAAAGGTCCAGTATAACTCGTATTCGTGATTTACTAACTTCGGCGCCCTAGCTAAGGAGACACGACCTCGGACTTGAACAAAGGGGTTTTGCAAGTTCTGCGACTCCTACCGCCGCTGCCATAGACCAAGGTTTGAACAAGTCCAGTGGTGAAGGATGCCCGCGAGGGTCTCGACCGTTCTCAAACTAATCAGAATGACCTTTTGTCGCCCGTTAGCAAGACCGAAACTAGATGCGTCGAGCTGCCTAAGGTCTTGACCACCTCCTCTTATTTAAAGGATAAAAAGTTGTATTGTACCATAAAGTGCAAACTAGACTCCGCATCTAGATCAAGTTACCTGTCACCGGTTATGTTCGCTGCCTATCTCTTTTTTTATTTGATTGGTTTTAATCCCGACCTAATTCTTCTTAAACTAAAAGGTAATTTTATCCTCCACGGGTTACGTGCTATTTTTCGGCTCTTTGGTTTGGAGATTCCCTCGTTCTTGTTAGCTTGCTTGTAAAGGGCAGTGGAAGGGAAGGAGCCTAAATCGACCCCCTTATTTTTATTATTTTAAAAATAAATAATAAAAAAGTACAAAGAGATTAGACTCTCGGATGAGACTAAGCAGCCACCGACCGTTCCGACGCGCCCCTGACCTATTTTTTTATTAAGACCGAAAACCTATCTAAAATGGAGCCTAGTTTAGGCTGTCAAACAAATGATAAAATAAAAAATATTTAATATAACCGCTAGTAGGGATATGGATGGAGTCTCGCTCAGTAAAGAGAGTTGTAGATTCCTAGAAAAGGAGAGGAGGCAACAGACGTTGACGAGCAAGATCCCTCTGCCCTTGAGTGGCTTTTCTCTTTTGGTTGTGGATTGCGTGCAGCTTGACTTCTTTCTTCCACATAGGCTAGCTTCCTTGCTTGCATGCCTTGTGGCGAACTAGACTGAAAATTGTGTATATTATATAAAGACAGAGTCTTACCTTTTTTCAAAAAGAAGAGTCACGCTCTTTAAAAGCCCCTATTCGACGATGACTTAAGCCTATCTTCTTTAAAAAGGGCTTTTTTCGGTATACCGCTCTCCGAAGAGAGCCTGTGATGCATATCGATAACATGGATATCTTTAATATTAACTATATTATAGGATTGACTATTCAATATGTAGAACATTTCCTTACTTCGAGCATTGTACAACGTTCTCTTAATTTTATTAATAATTCTATTAAATTAACTCGTGATTTATTGGCAATTCTAGCACAAGAGCCATAGAACCTTTTCTTAAAAAGGAGAAGTAAAGAGCTGGGTTTTCAGCTCATAGCGGTTGGCCCTGGCTCAAAAGGAAGAGTTAGCTTATCCGGACCGGGAGGAATTTATCCCCAAAAGGGGCACAACACATCTACAGGCCTTCCCTCTGCGTGTGATTTTTCGAAGATTTGAGGCGCCCTATCTGGCATAGCGTCTCCCGCCCCCCGCGGGGGCCAACTTTGGCAAATGAACCCCGTTCAAGTTCCATCCCAACTGTCTCATCTTGAGAAAGGGCAATATGGCAATCTTTATTAGGTCAATCAGGCTTCGCACCTTCCTTTCCCCGTGGTTTCTTTACTAGGATTGGAACAAGCGAGGAACGAGTGACCACAAGCTCCGCTTAAGCGCTCAACATGCAGTTAGCTTAAAACATGTTCATCATGTGGCCGAGCGAAGCGCACCTGCGTGAAGCAGCCTAGCATCACTTTAGATAGGAGCAGAATGGATGACTTACAACTGAAAGTAAGTTCTTCGGATCGATATATTGTACGACGTAATGGAGATCTTGGTCTAGGTCCGGTGGTTCGCAGAATTCGGGACCTAACACGAATGGATGAAGCAAGCACTTTTAGATGGTATCGATCAGAGCCAATCAACCCTTTTCCCTGATTATCGTCACTTAAATCCCACTAGCCGAAATGGAATCCGTCAAGTAAGAGATAAGCCAGAGATCCAGATCATTAGAATACGTCACCGGTCCGAGACGAGATGGGCCTTCTCGCGAAAAAGCAATTTGATTGCTTTAACTAGTCATGCTATGGAGAATTCCCATTGAGAGCCAACTGCTTCATGCCCCAGATCGCGGGGATTCTTATTGTGTGTGGTCATATTTCCTATTCATTGAGTAAAGGGCCCTCTCTCCTTTTGCTTGTGCTTCTACCCGGGCTTTTCATTTTGATAGATTTTTAGAGACCCGAGGATATTTTTATAAGATTCATTGCCTATGAATCCAACCTTCCCTCACAGTGGGATGGGATAAACCCAGATTCATCCTTGCAATGGTTATTTTGGATTCTGTAAGAGCGGTACAAAAAGGCTATGAAGATTGTATGCTTTCCTTTACACCTTCAAGCTTGAAGGTTCGCAGTTCGGTGATTGCAAATAATATTTAAACACATTTAAATATATTCTATTTTTTTACAATTATTTAGTTTTTTAGAACAGTTTTTAATTTTTATTTGAATCCATATAGATTTGAACATTAACGTCTATTATCTAAGAGATAATTTTCTTTTTCAGAAAATGATTATAAATTGAGAGAGTTGTAGTATATTGGTATTAGAAGTTAGAAGGTGACGCGGAAAGAGAAAGTTGCATGAGAATGAAATGTGGGGTCGGTCATCTTCAATAATGAAGTTGAAGCCTCAATCTTCCATCACCTTGAAATTCAAATCAATCCAAATCCAAATAATTTCTCATTTCATATTTTACCATAACCCTAAAATCTAAGTACCCTATTAGAATATCCACTACCCACATCCACCATTGATTCATTCTTCCTATTCTTATTCTCTTTATTACTCATAATAATTCAATCAAATCAAAATATTATTAACTCAACAAAAACACCATTTTTTTTTCAATTTCAAACTCATCTTTGTTGTATTGTAATCGACCATCAAAAAAGTTGCAAACTTGTGAATTTCAGAGCTCAAACTCATCTCAGCTATGGGAGAAGCTGAAGGAGAAGGTGGTGGTTGTTCCATCAGAGGCGGTGATATATATTGGGGAAGAAAGCATGACACTGATTTCAAAGGAATTGTTGTAATCTTTGCTTGGGTTTCAGTTCCGAAAACCCTTTTAAGGGAATTCGTTGACCTTTACTCCTCTTTAGGTTGGAATTCCCTTGTTTGTTATGCTCATTATCTATCCGCGTAAGTGTTAATTCCCTTGTTTGTTACTTGTTAACTTGATTGATTTGTCATGGATGGAATTTGTGGATTAACAAATTGTTAGGTTGAGGGGATTTGGTGTTACTTGTGGATGGAGTTTTGTAAAAATTAGAGCTTTCTTGTACGGTTTAAATAAAAATAAGGCGTGTAGGTGTCCGAAACCAACGCCGATGCCGATACTTGTGATTTTATGTTTTTTAAAATTATTACCGGTGTCGGTGTATCAGTATAGTGTGTCCGTGCTCTATGGGTTTTACTTGGCCTTAAGCTTGTGAGAGGAGAGCTTTTTATGAATTGCATGTCGTGTTTGCCTAACCATGTGGAATAATTATAGCAACAAAAGAATTCCTTGAATATTGTTTTGCATGTGAAAGTAGGACAATTCTATTTATGCCAAACTAGTGATCTTATATTGGGGCTTTTCTTAGAATAAGGGTTTTTTTTTTTGATCCATTAGTTGTCTGGCTTTGCATTACAAAGAAGAGAAATGAAATTGTTGAAACTAATAGGAGTGTTATCAAATATCTGCCATGGCGGTGCTATGTGGATATACATGGCGGTTTTTGGGCTCGCCGCAATGGTAAATACTGTCCGATATTGCGTGTTTTTCCGCCATACTCAGCTATAAAGGTGCCGCAAAGCACCCTGTGTAGTGGGATTTTGGCTCTCCGCCTTCGACAACACTGATTAATAGATAAATAGTTGGTAGAAAGTAGAAATTATGTGCTGGCCTGCTTTTTCATGATGAACAGGCGACCATGTGCCGAGAGTAGAATAAGAAAGTTAGTTCAAAGATTGGTTGGGCTAGTAATATATATGTAATTTATACTGTCTTGAAGAGATTTACATTGTTTCTTTACGCATTTCATTCGTGCCAAAATATAACATTGAATCTTGTTAGACAGTCATGGGTTCAACTAGAAAATTTAAGGGTATTTTGTGATTCATTTTGATGCCTATGGAAATATAAGAGACTAGTCTGATTATAGATTTTCAACTTATTACCTTTGCTTGGTTGCTTTCTTTTCTGGTTGAAGTGCTCCATGGGAAAGCTTAGTTTAGTTTACTTCAAGCAAAAACAAGTCCATTGTGAATGAATATGACAGAAAGAGAGTTGAGCATCATATAATACTAATATCCAGCAACAGTATATTAAGTACACTCATATGTGGGTTGGTGTTGTATTGTCCAAAATCCGTTTCTGTCGAAAACTAAGGCATTCTCTATCATAACCACCTAAATACCTACTAATCACACCTTATTAAATTTGTACTCACCTGAACTTATTGGTTGGGCTTATAATACTGATGGAATTTTTATATCACAATTTTGTTTTCATCCAGATTCAATAAGGAAAGCGCCGTGCCATTGGCATTTTATGTTTTTGATGAACTTATCGAGGTTAGTTTTAAAAACTGCAAAACATGCTAAGATTTATATCAATACTCTTACATGTCAATTTATAGACATTTATTTTGTGACCCTGAATCTTTGGATACCATTTCTTATTTTTGTCACATTGATAGGTTTTAAGTGAAAAAGTTAATTTGGGTTATGCAGGTGCTAAGGACTAGGCCATGTCCTGTTGTATTTGCTTCTTTTTCTGCCGGGTCAAAAGCCTGTATGTACAAATTATTTCAGGTAATTTCAGGCAGCTGATTTTTATCCTTGGTATGAAGAGTATTATATTAAATTTTGTATGTCATTTTAGAAGAGAAATGCTAACTATAATAGCTTTTCATACAAATATGCAGCTTAGTGAAGGAAGATGTCCAGCTCCACTCAATTTGGTAATGCACTTTTCTGTTTAGTTAAAAATATTATGAATTATGTCTTCTTTGAAATCTTACTTTCTTCTCTGATTGATAATGATGCTCTCTACCTGTGGCCATCGTGAAACTTATTGATTGATTTATTATTTCCCAGCGAGACTGTCAATTGTTTAGGAACTGTATTTCCGGACACATATATGACTCTGGGCCACTAGATGTTACTAGTGATTTTGGCTTCCGTTTTTCTCTTCACCCTTCGATTGCAAAAGTGCCCGGCCCATCAAAGCTTATTTCTTTGGTAGCAAAGTCTGTTGCATCTGGTTTAGATGCTTTATACTTGACTCGATTTGAATCCCAATCAGCTGAACACTGGCAGGCTTTATATTCTTCTGTTGTAAGTATATCATCTATGACCATCTCGAATGTTTAGCATTTTTTTTTCCTGTAAATTGAATACCATTTCATTCCATCTTTAGAATTTAGGGGCTCCGTTTCTCATTTTATGTTCGGAGAATGATGACCTTGTGAGATATCAAAGTATCTGTGATTTTGCGCAACGACTACGCTGTCTCAACGGTGATGTCAATCTTGTAAATCTGAGAAACTCCTCCCATGTTGGTTAGTCTGAGATCCATGTTAATTATGTTCTGGCAAGCTTGAACGAGTTTAACAAACTAGTCATAATAGTTATTATTATTTGATTCAGGTCATTACAAACACCATCCAATTCAATACAGAGCTGCTGTGAGCCATTTATTGGAGAAGGCCATGTCAACGTATTCACGAAAAGTGATACTTGAACGAGAAAGAACTGGTATCGATGGTACGCATGACGAGATATCCGAGTTAATCTGTGATCTGCAGAAAGTTGCAACTAATTCAAATGAGAGCTTTAGAAGAGTTGCAGTGAGGCCAAGTGACCACTTCTTTTTGCCTAGCTCAGCAGAACATACCAACAACGACAGAGAATCTGGGATTCCACGCGACGAACAGAAAGAAGAACCTGTCTGTGTTCCCAGCTTCCCAAGCATCAGCGCTCACAGTGTCCTTGGGCAATTTCTTTTCGACGTTTGTGTTCCTAAGAATGTTGAAGGTTGGGATGTGATGTTTTGTGGGAATCTAAATGGGAGGACGCGTGCTTCAGTGTCTAGGAATTCGCCTTCCAGAGGCATTAAACGTATTGGTCGCTCCAGGTTATGAAGGTGAACTCTCTAGAGGATGGTGTGTGATATATTTTTTTTGAAAGGGTTGCTAATTGCCCGAGATAGAGGAGCATATGAATATGATAGATTTTGATGCAACAAAGGGACAGCCGCCGGAACTGGCAGTGTAATGGTTGTGATGATTCGATAAAGATTGCTAGAGTTATATCAATAAAGTGGTTATCAGAACTTATAACTGTTGTAACTCAGGAAAGAGACTGTTAGAAATAAACTGGGTGATGTTTGACTAAGGTAACAACTACTCAATGGGTTATGTAACTAGTTGAAATGGGAAAAGATGTACTTAGAGCATGAAAATTTCTGTGAATATATATTTGAGGGAATAAAGTGCCATGTTTGAGGCTGAAAAATTGTAAAATAGGCATGTCTAACTATGTATAAAAGGAGAATCTTCGGCTGTTTTACTCCCTACTTTTGTATCATTTCTCTGTTCTATAATGAGATTATCTGCAAATATTTAGATACAAGATTAACATCTTTTCACTTATGGTTATGGTGTAAATTATTTCTACAAAAGTGAAGCGAGACAAATAAATATTCATTGAGATATTAATCTAAAAAAAGTGAAGTGATTTTATTGAATTATATAAAAAAAGTTTTATAACGATAATAATATGATTGAATATTTGTGTAAAAAATCATTCCGAGAACAACAACAATAACAATTCAGTCTCATTAAAGCATTATCTCATTAAGTTTATCTTATTAAGTGAGATCGGTTGCATATTCTATAATAAATAAAAAAGTCATATTCTGTCTGCATGAATATTATAATAAATAAAGAAAGTCATATTCTAACTGCATGAATATTAGTATCTTTATATCTTAGGATTTGATATAGCTGATAAATTTACTTAAATTACATCTTGCAACTTTTTAACTTTTATTTTGATTTATCTAAAATATTATTTGAGTGATTCACAATACATAACAACAAATATCATATACTATTTTTCTAATATATTACAGTTTTTTCTAAAGTACAAAAGTTTAATGTTAAATATATTTATACACAATAAATAATTTTATAATAAGGAAATAAACAAAGTACTTGTCTTAAGAGGAGAGGGGTCTCAAGTCTCTTGATATGTATATTAAATTTTTAAAATATCCATAATTTTTTTTATTAGGTCTGTTTAAAATCAAACCAACTCAATTGAAAACCGCAAATCGAATCAAATCAAATTAAAACCACAAAAGTCTATATTTGATTCGGATGTATTTGAATCATCTTTTAACAAAATCGTATGGTTCGGTTTGTGGTTTGTATTTTGTAAACCTAACCAAACCGAATCAAACCACATTATGTTACAACCTAAATTTCACTTAACTCACATCCAATCCAAACCTAAATCTGTATGCCTTAACCTTACGATTACCAACATTTTTCTCTTCCTCACACTCAGGATTTTGGTTTCAACCTTATCAAATCTCTCATAGCAATATCTCTCATAGCAATATCGCATCTTCTTTGCTAAATACATCTTGCATCTTCTCGTTTAATCCCTACTTTCTTATATTCTTTCTTTTTCACCCTCTCATTTTATGCAATTGTTCTCTCTTTCAATTTTGTTTTTATCGCACATCTTCTTGTCTAACTCTCATCTCTTATGTTCTTTCTTTTTCTTCTTTACTAATCTCTTATCTCCTTTATTTTTTCATTATAATATTTTTGATATTGTTTTATAGTATTGTTCTATTTGATTTTTACATATTAAATGGAAAGTTATTGTCTAAATACGATGGGTTTTGTTGTTACTTAGTAGTGTATGAATGACTAAATATAAAGTTATGTTGTCGTATGTATGACTCAATAAAACTTTTGTAAAAAATCAAACCAAGTCGCATTGATTTCGTTTGGTTTGATTCAGTTTTATTTTTAAAATCCAACCAAAGTAAAACAAACTACACATTTTTTCTCTTGCGGTTCGGATGATTTTTTGCGTTAAAATCACCTAAACCGCACTGCGAACACCCTTAATCTTTATATGTTCAAATTAATAAAAATACATTATTAGAATGATCATTTTAATAAACATTTTTTATTTATTTCAACGGGTGAATTGAAAGAATATTTTTTTTTAAATAATTAATTTTTCAAAAAAAAAATCAAATAACCAACCTTTTAAATTATTTATCAAAGTAATCATATTTCAAAAAAAAATCGTCACATAGAGGATGCACCACTGTCTATGGCGCATGTACTCTAAATTGGCCATAGGCGCCATTGTCTGTGGTGCGTGCAGTAGTGTCATGCCAATGACTACGGCGCATGCATGTTGGCATTAAGACCATGTGTCATCACTCTTGGCTTCTATGTTGTATTGTATTTTTTATAAATAGGTCATTCCCTTCCCACCATTTGCCATTCATCATCTCATTCTCTCCTTAAATTTTTCTTTAAAATGTCTTATATCATTAAAAGAAATGCTAATATGGTTTATTTGCCCGTAAAGCCTTCAATGAAGATTCAAAATTTCAACATTGATACTTTCGAGCATCTTGAGAGACGCATGATCTGTTGGTTAGATGGAGATATTGGAGACGATGAAAAGATCAGAAGAATTGAAAGACTTATTACGGTGTTCAACAATAATGGAGAGCATCGTGTCTGGGAGTCAGTTAAAATTGACAATGATTGTCGTATTATGATACATAGTTCAGATGATATTGTCCTGATGATTGTAATCTCCTAGATATGTTGTTGTGTTTAGTTATTTTATTTGTTTTTCATTTTGTTGTTTTAATTGTTGTAACCAAAAGTTGTAATCATTATGAAATGAACGTTGTTTTCAATATGAGATTAAATGGTTACATAAAATAAATTACATATCAAAAGCATATCAAAAGTGGAGATAATAATTATATTGTGGAGCTTGCTCCAACATTGGGACAATTAGTACGATTGTGTTTGGGGATGACGACATGTACTACATAATCTTACCATTTTGTTCGTTGTATCCATTTTGATTCGAATATGTGTGTTGTTAGGGTGCCTCTTTTTCTTTCTTCGCATATTTTCGTTGTACTAAACTATATCCCCTTGATATGTAGGTCAATAATCCTCCTTAGCTACAATCAGAAAGTTATTGTTGTACACATTGCTTACATTTATGACTTTGTAAACTATGGATAGTAGGTTAGAAGGGTCTTGGCGAGCATGTGAACATACCACTATGACATAGTGCAAGGTAAATGGAAGGCTTAAAACTTTCCACAATTGCACCAACCTCTATCTAGTTCGACCCGATAATATCCCCTTGACCTTCCCTCGTTATGGTATATTGTCTCCTCTACACTTAACCAACCTCTACGAAGGTCAAACATTATAACTACATGTGTGTTAGCTTTGAAAGGTTCCTCCTTAATAAATTTCATACAACTTTCACTGAACAACTGCACTGATTGTAACGTTGAACTCCATTTTGAACGTCTGGTCTCGAACACTGACTCTAATGTAAAATAGGTTGCTCTCACCAATGTGGTTATCAGCAGGTTTCTGATGCCTTTAAAGAAAAAGCTAATTGATTCTACAAGACTTTTTGTCATGTGGGCATACCATTGACCATTATCGAGTTCCCTAGTCCACTTTTCCACTGGAATATTATTGGTCCACCTTAATTCATATGCATTTTCAATCTGATCTCTTCGCAGCAGTGTTTGAACGATGGTTCTGTTAATGCATATCCTGCATTCACAACTTTTTTTCAAAGTGTCTTGTCTTTGATCTTCCGCATGAAGTTTTGAGCGATATGTCTAATATAGTAAACATGCATAGAAGGAGGATCTTGCCAATCGTTACAAGGTTATTATATGCACTCTCAATAAATGGATGTCTGACTGAAATCAAACATAGGTTAAGTTGCGAGGCAACGTGTAATTGAAGATTCTTGAGAAAGAAACTTCATCCATCAGGAGTCTCCCTTTCAACCATAGCGAAGGAAATTGGAAAAATATTGTTGTTTCCATCTTGTGCCACTGCCATGAGTAGTGTTCATTTATATTCTCGTACAATCATGTTCCATCAATTTGAATTATAGGTTTGCAGAATGCAAAACCTTTGATGCATGGTTCATATGCCCAGAAGAATCAATGGAATATTCTATTTCGACTAACACAAGTTCCGTCTAGGGTAAATGTCGGCATTGTCTCAAAAATTGCAACAGTTCCCAAAGCATACTACTTAAATATTACTAAATATTATGGAAGTTCTTTGTACGAATCCTCCCAATTTGCATATACTCGTTTAACATCCTTAGTACTTGCTATTCATGCCTTTCTATATAATGGAGTATAATTGTATTGTGTAACGACATAGGAGATTATTATACTCACCTTCAATGACAGATCCTTGCTAATGATAGGCAATATTTCATCACATATTATCTAAGAGCTTAGTTTATGATGATTCTACATCGGATTGGTGATAATACAAGTGTGAGGTGGATCCATAGAAGCTACCTCCCAAGAATCACAACTCTTTCAGTAAGATTTTCCATCTGAAGCATGCAGAACACGTTACGACACTTGATCACGTACCTCATTGCATTAGTGTGATCGACGGTATAATCAACTAAGATTTCCACATGAAACTTTTTTATATCTCTCACACAGTCTTCCTTTGTGCGAAGCTTGTCTCCCACTTTTAAAGCTCCCGCCGTTTGCATATGCGGATGATAAAAGATATTTAAGGATGGTTCGTCCTCACCTAAGTTCAAGTTTTTCATGTGCTCAGGCGGATAATACACATGGCTCAAAGGTAATCGATCTTGCTCTTGGTCTATAGACTCATCATTCACCATGTGATCAACCAATATATCTTCTTATTCTTCTTCCTCATCAACAACGTCGACTTCGGCTTGTTCGTCATCGTTAGTTTCGCAAAAAAAAACTTGTGATGGATTAACAATTTGAGACAACTGAGTTTGTTGTAGTAAAATATACAACTCAATATCGTTGAACCAGGAACGTTCATAA